TCACAAGGATGTGCATGCATCACCAGACCATTTTCATCAACCCAGAAGGAGACTCCAGAGCCATTAGCGTCACTATCCATTTGCCTCTCCCTGCCTAGCCCTTGGCAACCATTAATCTACTTTCCATTTCTACAGATTTGCTAATTCTGGATTTTCGTATAAATGGAATCATACGATATGTGGTCCTCCGTTTCTGGCTTCTGTCTTAATGTTTTCAAGGTCCATCCATGTTGTAGCGTGTGTGAGTACGTCTTTCCTTCTTATGGCTGGTAATAGTCCATCATGGCGACACCACATTGCATTCATCCATTCATCCGCTGATGGGCATTTGAATCGTTTCTACTATTTGGCTATTACGAATGTGGCTGGTAGTAGTCCATCATGGCGACATTATGGCTGGTAATAGTCCATCATGGCGACACCACATTGCATTCATCCATTCATCCGCTGATGGGCATTTGAATCGTTTCTACTATTTGGCTATTACGAATGTGGACATTCGCATACAAGTTTTTGCATGGACGTATGTTTTCAGTTCTCTTAGATAACTAGGAGTGGAATTGCTGGGTCATACGGTAACTCTAGGTTTAACCTTTGAGAAACTGAGCCAGCACGGAATAGTTCGTATATCTCCACCAGCAACTGGGTTTCAATTTCTCCATGTTCTTGCCATGACGTGATATCTCATTGTGATTTTGATTTGCGCTTTTCTAATCACTGATGATCTCGAGCACCTTTTCATGTTGCTTACTGGACCTTTACGTATCATCTTTGGAAAATGCTTATTTAAATTCTTTGCCTAACTTTTATTGAACATATTTTGTTTTTATTATTGACTTTTAAGAGTTCTTCATGTTTTCTGGATACTAGAAATAATTGTTCCCATTCTGTGGGGTGTCTTTTCCCTTTTTTGATAGTGTCCTTTGAGGGGCAAAAGTTAATTTTGATGACGTATAACTTATCTATTTTTTTGGTTGGTTGCTTGTGCTTTTGGTGTCATGTCTAAGAAATTATTGAGTCCAATGTCATGAAGATTTGTTTTCTTCTAAAAGTTTTATTTAGTTATTACGCTTAGGGAATATCCTTTCTAGCCTTTTCCTTTTGACATATTCGTGTCATTGGCTAGCGTGTTGTAGGCGCATACAGTTGGATCATAATTTTAACCCATTCTGTCACTTCTGCCTTTTATCTGGAATATTTAATCCATTTACGCTTAATGTAATTACCGATAGGGTAGCATTTTGTCTGCCATTTTGTCATTTGTTTTCTATGTCTTATGTACCCTTGTCCCTCTATTTCTCCATTACTCCCATGCCTTCTGTTATTAGTAGATATTTTCTACTGTACCATTTTAATTTCCTGTTATATCTTTTAGCATATATCTTTTAGTTATTTTCTTAGTAGTTTCCCTGGGGGTTATAAATCACATCTTAATGTATAACAATCTAGTTTGGATTAATACCAACTTCATCTCAGTAGTATACAAAAATTCTGTTCCCGTATAGGTGTGTTCCCTCCTCCTTCCTTTGTACTGTTATTGTCATACACATTTTTTTCATCTTCTGCTCAACACAGATTTCTAATTATTTTATGCAGTTGCCTCTTAAATTAGTTAATGTAGTTACCTCTATCAGGGCTCTTTATCTCATCATGTGGATTTGAGTTACTATCTATTGCCCTTTCGTTTAGCCTGAATGACTCTGCTTATTTCTCGTAGGGTAGCTCGCTAATAATAAACTTGATTTTTGTTTACCTGGGAATGTCCTAATTTCTCCATTTTTGAAGGATAGGTTTGCTGGATATAGAATTCTTGTTTGATAGTCACTTTAAATGTCATCCCATTGCCTTCTGGGCGTAACAGATAGTTTATGATGAGAATAGTTTATGATGTGAACCGCTTGTACACAAGTCATTTCTCTCTTGCTGCTTTGGAGATTTTTATTTTCTGACAACATCATTATGTGTCCAGGCATGAACCTCTTTTTAGTTTATCCCATTTGGGGTTCACTGAGCTTCTGGGGCATGCAAATTAATGTTTCATAAAATTTTAAAGGCTTTGGTCACTATTTTTTCAAAAATTCTGCCTTTTTCTCTTCTCTTCTTATGAGACTACCATTATGCATATGTTGGTACACTTGATGGTGTCCCTCGTGTCTGAGGCTCTATTCATTTTTTTTTTAATTCCTTTTTCCTTCTGTTCTTCAGAATGAATAATGTCAATTGGCCCACATTTAAGTTTGATTCTTTCTTCTGCCTGCTCAAATATGATGTTCAGCACCTCCCAGGAATTTTTGTATTTCAACTATAAAATTTACATATTTTAATATAATTTTTTATTGAATTTTCTATTTAGTGAGACATCATTTTCATACTTCAGTTCTTTGATCCTATTTAAAATAGCTGATTTATAGTCACTGTCTACAAAGTCCGATGTCTGGACTTCCTCGGGCACATTTTATTGACTGCTTTTCCCCCTGCGTATGGGACATACATCCTTTCTGGTCCCTTTGCATATCTATAATTATTAAAGGAAAACTAGACATTTTAAATAATAATGAGATAACTCTGGAGATTAGATTTACTTACTTGCTAAGGGTTTCATGTAGTTGCTGGTTTTTGTTTAGTGATTCATCTGAACTAATTCTGTAAAGTCTGTTTTTTGTAACGTATAGACACTGAAGTCTGGCTCAGGTAGTTTTGTGGTGAGTTAATAACTGGTCAGGGATTTCCTTAAATGTCTGAAACCAGTAATTCTTCCAGTTGTTGTTGAGGGCACTGTGTGCCTGTCGGGACACCCTTCGACACTCAGCCAGGAGGTTGGCCGCTCTGCCTTAGGCTTCGCTCTCTGCTTATGCAGATCCTCAAGGTCAAGGTAAGGTGCAAGGTCAGGATGCTCTCAGGTCTTCCCTGAGCAAGCGTATAACCCTTGGCTTGCACAAAGCCCTGTGCATACACATGACCATCTAAATTCCCAGGATGGCAAAGCTTTACAAAGCTCCTGCAAATACCTCTTTCCTCAGCTTTTCAAGTTTTCCGTTAGCCTATTGTTTGCTCCAGTGGTTATTCACTGCTTCAGGCAGCCACGACTGCCTCAGATTTTTCTCTTTTTAAATAAATGTGCCTGCGGAAAAGGCTTTTTACACCTGGCAAGCTCTGATCAGGCAAAATAAAGAGAGCCCTGCAAGTGAGGACTTCCAGGGAACCACCAGACAAGTCGAATAATGACAGTTCTCTGGGAATCAGGCTTTGAAGGCGCTCCGACCCCATTCTGTCCCCTCCCAGGGCTTCGATGCTGCCGCTTCTACCTTGATGACACGCTGCTGGTTTTCCAGGATATGACCGCGCTGGAACGCGGGGGAGGACGTGGAAATAGGGCAGGTTGAAATGCCACAAACCTCCTGTTCTGAGATTCAGCTATTTCTTTTGAGTAAATATTCTTTCATTGCTGTAAGCCTTTGGTTAATGTCTAGGGTTCTGAAAAAAGTTGATTCTGACCATTTTTGCCAATTTCCTCCTTGCTTTAATGGAGGGGAGAATTTTCAGAGGTCCTTACTGCATCATTTTTGCTGGCTGTCAGTATGTAATGCCCTTTTATTTTTCTTAACAAAATGAATCTGGTTAAAATGAAGAAAGCTACCACCATCAACGTTTCTAGGCACTCACAGGGGTCAAGTGCAACTGCTCTCTGAACAGCAGTAGCTGTGAGAACCACCGAACTGGATACGGCAGGAGTTTTAGAAAATGTCTACCCTCCAAACGAATGTTGTCATAATTTTGAAGTAAGCTGGTGCCGAGTTTTAGAAAATTCTTTCATTAGGGAGAGAGAAAGAGAGAGCGAGGGAGGGGGAGAGAGAAGGAGAAGGAAAGAATAAGTCTTGAGTATAGTCTCAAAATCACTATAAGAAACAAAACCTGGTATTCTTTGACATAGGTAGCGAGAATAATCCACACTCTGCTGTAAGGTGAGTCTCTTAATTGCATATAGAAATGATCTCCGAATGCTCCCCCTCTGCCACCACAGTGGGCTGCCAGTACTTTTCTGGCTCTGAAGCACAAGGGACCGTATGGTCATATGCTTCAAAGAGAACATTCTAGGCTGTAAAGCAATCTCTTATCCAGACCGAGGGGAAGTCGCTCAGCTATGATCAATCCCTCTGCTAGAGACACTTGCATCGTTTCAGACATATTGGCTGATGACACAGGGAGGTACTTCCTGGCTAGGGACAGCGAGACTTGAATAATTTTTAGATAGACATTGAGCTATTTGCAAGAATACAGACTTTATAAAAATCCCCTCTGCTTAAAAGAAAGCAAGATACTCACTGGGGAAACGTAGGGGAGCCTCATTACGAGTAAACAGGAGTTGGTGGAGACCATGAAAATGCAATGGCCGGGGTGAGTAAGGGGGGATTTTCAAATAAGATTCTTAAGGAGGGTGTGTTTACAAGTCTGTGAAATGAATTTACATCTCAATATTTCATTACATCAGCTTTCATTAGCGTTGGCCCAGTTAGGGGCCATAAATGATCTGCTTAAAAATGTTTTGATTTCTGAAGCAACATATCGTGCTTAAGCTTTTACAGTAAAGATAAAAATGTCCGATTTTTCAGTATAGGAAACAGACTCCTAATTTTACTATTAACAACTTTAAAAACTGGCTTTGGGGGTCTCCAGTGATTACAAAATAGGTATGAATTTTAGGGAAAACTATATGCAAAGCCTCAGAAGCTAACTGATAGTGAAGGCTTTTTTCTTAGTAAACATTTTAATTCGTAATGTGCAAGAAAAGCGAGATGTACATTAAACCAGTCAGACAAGCCAGAATGTGAAAAGGTTTCAGTGTTGAGTACATTGACCAAAAATGTTTAAACATACCTCACTTTTCCGGAAGAGGAGGGCCAGGCAGCAAAGGCGTTCATCTCCTCTTCTCGATTAACCAGAGTGCATCTTCCACCAGCCAGGGCTCTTTTGTGTGTTGATCATTTAAAAAAAATTCTAAGTGTGTTCAAAATATATATTTTATTCATTGAAGATGCAACATTTCATCTACACAATGTCATGTAATTGAAGATTTTGGTATGATAACAATTAGGCATTTTGAAGTTAACACTGATAGCAAGTCACTTAAAATGGGCCCCTTTACACTATGTCATAGGGAGGCCCCTGCCCAACAAAGTATTCTGAATTTTAAAACTTACCATTACCCACATCTATTGACTTACCTGAACAGACTCTATTTCCAAGTAACTTTTTTTTGCATTACTATAATTGCATGAAATATTTCTCCACAGAGTATAATCGTTGCTCAAGAAAACATAATGACTTTAGAATTTTCTGCAAATTCTGCACACAATTCAAATACACAGCATAGAAGCAAATTTCTCCTGGACTCCGACATTCTTTTATAATATCAAAAGGTTAAGAATGACATCGGTGAACCCAGTAAAAAAATGTTTTTATAATGAACAGCACCAGGGAGGCCAAATTATAAATTCTATTTGTCATCAATTAAGCTGGGTGCTGTACCGGGCGTCAAGGTTGAGACCGCGCCAAGGTTGCCCACTGCTGGTGTTCGACGCACACTGTTTTCGACAGGAGCAGAGAGGATGCTCGGGTTGTTATGTGTCTTTGTAAAATTTCAAACGAGTTAAAACAACAGTGTTACCTCTCAATGAGAATCTTGAATATCAGGGTTGGCGCCTTTCATGGCTCCCTTTAAAGACCTATGATTCTAGAGGGTGAAAGATGCCACGCTACACTCACTGTCATTTCAGTGACAGGCAGCGGCCACTTAGGCCTGCGTCGCATTGGTGGAGGAAGGTTCACGCCGCCTTTGTCACCTGCCAACTTATACACGGGTAGAGGTTACGCTAAAACTTCCATTATTCTGAAGGATGAAAGACATGTTATATTTTGAGATGGATCTTCAGTTCCTATTATACTGGAAGCCTTTGAAGGCTGAACAGGCCAAGTTATGAAAAGGACAGAGAAAGTAAGGACAGGGAGAATGCAGCTGGAACACATGGAATGTTCTGCCTTCACTCTACGCGGATCGTCTCCTTTCTGGGCCGCGGGTGGTGTGACTGAAAAGACCACACGTTTGTCAGCAGCTCTGCGGGATTTTTAGCACGATGAGAGCCCTTCCATTACAGATTTAGGGCAGCTAATAAAGTTCCATAAACCAAATTGTCGACGAGTCCGAAATTTTTTGAAAATCATTTTCCTACCAAGTAAACCTTCTTGGTCCCCCTTCCGTCCTGCCTTAGAAAAAAAAACACTGTAGAATGAAACTTGTTTTAAAAAATGGAATCACTTCACAGCCACCAGATGAACATCTGGCAGCGGAGCAACATTCAAATGCCATCTTTTCAAAGGAAGAACAAGTATGTGACTCCCCCGTGAGGAGCATTTCTTCTGTCAGGATGTAATCTCACAGACTTCCCATTTATGGTCTTTTTGCAACAGTCCAAGGCTGAACTTGGACCTGCTCTTCCCGGATTTTCTCAGTAGTATCTGGATAACAGGGTGTTAAGTACATAAGAAATCCAGGGTCGAAATGAAGATAATCTAATGTATCCAGGTATTTAATTAAATGTACACAGCTGCACTCAGAATCAACCTGCTAAAAACTAGCAGCAGCAGAGGATGAAGCCTGTTTTTCACATGTCACAGATATAGTTCAAAGTCATTACAAATGTAATCATAAACCCCAAAACAAGAAACGCTGGAGGTCATGTTTTGATGTGTTTTTTTCTCCTCCTTTCTCATAGCCAGAACATGTTTGGATCTAGAAAGAAAAGGATCAGATCTTTTGAAGTCTCAAATATTCTTCAAATTCTTCTCATATATATATATAAAAAAAATCTTATTGGGAAGTCAAAAATTATTTTTCTGTAAAGTCTTTCAAAATAAGAGCATTATTTCATCTATAATCTACATTTTTATTTTTAAAATCCCTCACAAAAGTATCTTAATATGTTGCAAACTTATAAACGAGATTGTAATTCTCCGGGGGGGGTGGTATGCTAAGACCCCTGCAGAACTTTTGTGGCTAACTCAGGAACACCCTGGCCCCCCAATATTCAATACTATTGAGGCCCTGGGGTTTGCTGAAATTCGTTAAAAACATGGAGAATAACCTCTAGGGAAAATTATTCTCTGGAGAAAGAGAGCGAGGAGGATGTTAGAAGTATCATTGAAGGTATGTGTGTTCAAAGTTAATTTGGCTATATTATCAAATTATAGTTCTTGAGGGAACTGAAAGTTGCTTTAAATTAGATTTGGGGAGGCACAATCACGCTAAATAGTTTGTGTATGAGACACTTGCATAAAAAGAAACACACAGACGACAAAGTGTCCTTAATCTGGGGGAGGATGTATTCCAGCTTGGGGAGGGTGAAGGCATTTCAGCTCTGACGCTCAATCATGACACTGCCGTCGAGTTCTGCAGTCCCCCGCATTTGACAGGACAGGATGCAGGGGCCTATTTGGCCTGGCTGGACTGTCTTGTCCCTCTGCCTCGCAGTGTGTGACATGCAGGCAACTGCAATGCCAAGCTGCCAGTACTCCCCAGGCTCTCGAGTGTTCATCAGCTGAGTAGGTCAAAGGTCTGCAGACACTGGGTGGAGCAGCAGTAAGCCACAAAGCTGACAGTCGTCTTCCTGGGAGGGGAAGAAAGGGCGAGAAGGACTCTGAGTTCCAGATTAATGTCAGGGTTCTTTCCAGCAGAGACAGTCTTTTTTCTTTGTTCAAATAAAAGATTAGGCACCCCAACAAAGCACACACCAGAAATGCAAATTCTCTTTTACGACTGAGCCCTGGACTCAGGTGAGGTATGTGTGTGCTCATTTTATTAGCAGTTTTCAGAGGACATAACATCCCTCAGTTAGCAGCTAAGGAAAAACAAGCTTTTTCCATGTCACGGTCTGAATTCTGCTTACTAGAACCAACAGTGCAACGATGGAATTAGAAAGGCACTATAAAAATCATGTAACAGAAAATATCACCACTTTAGCTAGGACACATATATATCAGAGAACTTAGAAAACATAATTTTAAGGAATTTATCCTGCAAATGTATTCGCAGGGATTGCTCAGAGAGTCGGTTTCAGAATTTGAGTAGTAAGAGATTGAGGGTCTTCTTCCCAGCAAAAGCAGTACCTAAAGGGAAATTTATAGCATTAAACACATGTGTTTTCTAGAATGCTCTAAAATCAATAACCTAAGTTTCCACCAGGATTTGGAGAATAAAGAGTAATTTAAGTCTAAAGCAAATAAAAAGCATAAAGTATGTTCTTTGTCCACTATGGAATCAAACTAAAATTCAATAACAAAAGGGAAAATTTCAAATGTGAAAAGTTAACAACACAGTTCTTTGACCTTCTTTGACCCATGTGTCAAACGACTACTTTCCCATGGGTTAAAGAGGCAGACTCAAAGAATTTAAAAACTTACATGAACTAAACGGGAATGAACATTACAACTAATCAAACACGTTGACACGTAGTAAAGCAATGCTGAGACAGCATTTTATAGGAAGTGTTTTTGTTAGAAGAGGTCTCAAATCGATAATCTAAATTTCTATCCCAAAAACTTAAAAAAAAGAACAATAGAGAAAAGCAAGCGGAAGGAAAAAAATAATCAAGAGGAGAAACCAATAAAATTGAAAGATTCACTAGGGTTAAGAAGACCAATAAAACTGATAAATTTTTAGCAAGACTGACAAAGGTAAGACAAATTAATATAAGAAATGAAACAGGTGATATCACTACGGATCATGCAGCCAATACAAAGAGATAAAGGAATACTATGAAAAACTTTATACTCAAAAATTTGTAAACTGAGAAGAGACAAATTCCTTGAAAACTATGAACTACCGAAACTCATCCAACATGAAATAACCAATCTGAATAGTCCTAGAACTATAAAAGGAATAATATGTGTAATTAAAAAAAGAACTCTCTGGGCACAATGCTTTCACTGGGAAATTTTATCAAATATTGAAAGAACAGAGAGGAATTTTTACACAATCTCTTTCAGAAAAATCGGAGGCAAGGAACACTTCCCCTCTTATTTTATAAAGCCGGTATTACTCTGACTCTAAAGCCAGACATAGTACAAAATCATAAAACTATGGACCAATATCTCTCATGGACACAGATATAAAAATCTTCAACAAAGTATTAACAAATGAAGTATAGAAATGTATAAAATGAACTACACATCATGATCAAGCGGCAGTTATTCTGGGCCTTTATGTCTGATTCAATATTTGAAAATCAATGTCATCCACCATATCAACAAGTTAATGAAGAAAAATTTGTATGGTATCAATGGACTCGGAAAAGGCACTTGACAAAATACAATATCCATTCATGCTAAAACTCTCAGCAAACTAGAAATAGAGGGGATCTTTCTCAATCTGATAAACAGAATCTACAAAAAAACTTTGCTTACATCATACTTTATAGTGATGTCCACTCTCACCACTTTACCCAACATAGTACTGCAAGTTCTAACCACTGCGATAAGGCAAGAAAAAGAAATAAAAACCATACAGATTGGAAAGGAAGAACTAAAACTATTCCTACTTTCAAATGGCATGACATGGTTGTCCACACAGAAAATGCCAAGGATTCTACAGAAAACACTCCCAGACTCTTACGCAAGTTCAGCAAGGTTACGAGTACATAAAATCAAAAATTAAAACTCAACTACATTTCCATATAATAACAATGAACACATGGAAATGAAATTTAAAAATATATGAATTTATACTCATATACTTGCGTATAAACCTCATAAAACATTTAAGGAAAATAACTGAAAATAATTAAATGCTGATGAAAAAATAAAAGAATACCTAAATAAACAGAGAGACAGACTATGTCCATGCACTGGAAGACCTGATGAAGTAAAGATGTCAAGTCTCTCTAAACTGATCTATAGATTGAATGCAATTTTTATCAAAACCCATCACGAGGATTTTTGGAGACAAAGATAAGCTTATTCTAAAAATTATATAGAAAAGTAGAGGCCCGAGAACAGTTAAAACAATCTTGAAAGAAAAGAAAAGGATCACTTTACCTGATATATCATTACAATAATCCAGGCAGTTTGGGATTAACTGAGAGACAATGATCAACGGAACAAAACAGAGAACACGGGAGAACATATTGAGGACTTTGGGGTAGGTAAAGATTTCTTAGGACACAAAAAAACACTACCTGTAAATTAAAATAGGTAAATTTGACTCGATCAAAATTCAAACCTGCTGCTTTCCAAATTACACTCGTAAGAAAATAGAAAGGCGGCATTTCTTTTGATATTTTTTTAACTCGTGAAACTGTGTACATTTTAAGTTATTAGGTACTTTGTATCGCCTTCATTTTTTTAAAAAATGAAAGTTGGTTAGATCATTTGCTAGGCCAGAATGTACGTATCTGTATAAATCACAACAGAAAAGAAACTGACACAAAAGGCTCTCAAATGGCAGGTGCATTTTTGAGGATCAGCTAACTATACTCTCCAGATTTTTTTTCTTTTTTTTCTTCTTCTTCGCTGTTTAAGTCTATATGACGGCTTGTCTCATGGAAGAGAACATTGGAAGAGGTTCAACTTTCTTGCTATCGCAAGCTCAAATTGTGTCAGACAGTTTTGATCATCTGCCACAGTAAACTCTCCAATTTTTTAAAAGATAATCATATTAGGTGAAAAAATCACTCACAGAAGTGATACATTTCATACCACGACCATTTCATTTTTCAAAATAAAGGTCTAAGCAAAAGCATCCAACTGCACAGAGATGTGGGATTTTTACTCACTGAAGCGTGATGCCCGTGGGGTCATCATGCGCTCAGGATGCATGCTTAAGGGGCCAGGCAGGGTGACCGGCGGGCTCCTATTCGTGCTACAAAGAAATCCCGTCTGCGGATGTGTACTATTTACTTTTGGGAGACTTTTCTAATAGCATATTGTATCTGCCTGTTGCATTAATTATCTAAATTGTCACGAGTACAGCAACAAGTCTACTGCCTTAAGAATGGATCTGTGGGGTGGGGGGAGGAGGTAGACAAGGTAAAGGGGGTCAAATACGTGGTGACAGAAAGAAATCTAACTATGGGAGGTGAACACTCAGTGTAAACAGGTATATGCCTTACTGCTAAAGCGCATATTGTATCTGCCTGTTGCATTAATTATCTAAGTTGTCACGAGTACAGCAACAAGTCTACTGCCTTAAGAATGGATCTGTGGGGTGGGGGGAGGAGGTAGACAAGGTAAAGGGGGTCAAATACGTGGTGACAGAAAGAAATCTAACAATGGGAGGTGAACACTCAGTGTAAACAGGTAGATGCCTTACTGCTAAAGCATCACCATAACGAATTAATTGATTAATTAAAAAAAATAAGGAATTTAAAAAAAATGGATTTGTGTTAGTTAGGGTCCTTAAAATCCCAGAACTGTGACACCAGACACACGATTGTTTTAGGGGACATACTTTGAGCAATAAACTCTGCAGTAAGGAAGGAGGTGCTGAGAAATTTACAAAGAACATCAGACATGACATTTGTTGCTTCGGAATCTGAGTGTATTTATAGGCAAGGCAGAAGAAAGAGCATTTCAGCCTACTTTTAAAATACAGAAATACCACTATCCTAAAAAAAATAAATCACAATATTGTTGGCACATATTGGAGCCTATGAACATCATCAGAAATGTGCTATTTCTTTGCAAAAGTGTTTCCTGATTAGAAACAAAAAGCATATCCTTGACTCATACAGAAACTCAAGCCAAAAGACAAACAGTGTTTATTAGACAGAGCTGAGCTGATAAAACTCCCAAGTCTGTGTAGTATTAACTTACTGGAGATTCATCTAGAAATATATTGCATCTGCTAGTTACATTTATGTTAATAGTAACTGTCTCTTATGGGATTATTCCGTGTGCAGAACCAGAGGCTTAAATATTACATACTTGCTTCTGTACTTGATCTGTCCAGGCCCTAGAAATTTAGGAGTAAGATATATATGGGAAAAGAAGTATCAGGCATTTTAGTCATAGCTGAATCCCCAACACTTAGTACAGAGTCTGGCCCACAGCCGATGGTTAATACTTAATTGTTGAGTGATACAATGAGGAAGAAATAGTTAATAATTTGCTTAAACCAACTGAAGAATATTGTAAAATATTAAAAAGATATTATAAAGCTACATGAATCAAAGCAGTATGGTACTGGCCTAAAGACAGATCTATAGACCAATGGAACAAAATAGAGAGCCTAGAAATGAACCCACACATATATAGGCAACTGATCTTCCACACGGAAGTCAAGAATACACAGTGGGAAAAAGACAGTCTCTTCCACAAATGGTGTTGGGAAAACGAGAAATCGACATTGCAAAGAATGAACTTGAACCTTTATCCTACACCATACGAAATATCAACTCAGAAACAAGTTGAGACTTCAACATAAGACCTGAGACTATAAAACTCCTAGAAGAAAATATAGAGGGAAAACTTCTTGATCTACACCATACGAAATATCAACTCAGAAACAAGTTAAGACTTCAACATAAGACCTGAAACTATAAAACTCCTAGAAGAAAATATAGAGAGAAAACTTCTTGACGGCGGTCTTAGCAGTGATTTCTTAGATATGACACCAAAAGCACAAGCAACAGAAGCAAAAACAGATATGTGGGACTACGTCAAACCAGAAAGCGTCTGAACAGCAAAGAAAACAATCAACAACAGGAAAAGGCAAATTACAGGATGGGAGAAAATGCCGATTCCACTGTTATATACTGGAAGCAGGTAACCTGTCTGCTTTCACAGGTTCACAGCTAGAAAGGAATTCTGCCCCAGGAAGAACTATGCCCAAGTTTTACCCAGATCTGATATAGATATTTAAGATATTTAAGATGAGATTTTGAACTTCAGAGTTGATACTAGAATGGGTTAGGATTTGGCGGGTGTTGGATGAGGTGAATTTATTTTGCATGTGAGGACACGAATTTTTAGAAGACCGTTATAGCTTGAATTGTATTGCCCCAAATTCATATATTGAAGTCCTAAGGTCCAGTACCTTAGAATGTGACTGCTTTGAAGTGAACTGTGTGCCCTGCCCCTTCGATTCACTACCCTCTGATGTGATGGGATTTGGGGATGAGGCCTTTGGGAGATGATGAGGTTTATGCGAGGTCACGAGAACGGGGCCTTCGCGGTGGGATTAGTGCCCTTATAAGAAAAGGCTGGAGAGCTTGTGCACACACGCATGTACTTACACTCACTGCCACGTGAGGCAACATGACAGTGGCCTATTTGGAATCAGGATCACTGCAGGTGTATTTTGTTAAGTTAGGGTGAGGTCGTTCGGGTAGGCCCTAATGCAGTATCACCGGTGTCCTTACAAAAAGGGGAGATTTCAACACAGAGACAGGCGTACACGGAGGGAGGGTGATGGGAAGAGGGGAGCGGGGAAGATGGCCATCTATAAGGCAAGGAGAGAGGCCTGGGATGAGTCCTGCCCTCACAGCCTCGGAAGGAGCCGACCCTGCCAATACCTGGATCTCAGACTCCCAGGCTTCGGGGCTCTGAGACAAGAGACTTCTGTTGTTTGTTCCCAGCATTGTGGTTATTTTGTTGTGGCCATCCTAGCCGACTGATACAATGCTCCTGAAAAACCCTAGGTTGCCTGATTTTCCCCCTGGGAAAGCAAGGACCTGTGAGAACCACATACGTGTGGGAAAAGGCGGAGACATGTTGTCATACTAAACAAATAATCTTTTAAGTTGATGTTCTCCATTTTCATATAAGAATAGTAAGTTTGGGGAATGAAAATCTGTGATGTCTACAAGGATCAAAAGTCATGAATATACCAGCCATTCTTCTCTGCTGTTGATATTTGAAGGTTTGGGTACTTATTGTTTATGCAAAAATACTGTAATTTCTTTTTACTCACTCTGTATTAAATTTAGGTTGGAACTAACACTTGTATGGGACTTGGTATTTTAAAAGAATATTCAATATGTTCATTTAAAATAATGCCAGATGTCCACATTAATTTAGATACTGGCTGATACAACGTATTATTTTATGACAAGCAATGCAAATTTAACTAAATATATTAGAAAATTTAATAATATTATCAAGACCTTTTAGAGTTTATCACATAAAAACTATTGATTTTATTTCCAGCAATAAGCTACTGAGATTCAAGTATTTGGTTTTCAGTTACCAAAAAAAGTCCTTTAAAGACTATGGTAGAAACTGAAGTCAATGCTTTTAATACAATCTCCATAGCAACATGGGAAGGAGCAAAGGCTGGTGGACCAAATGAAAGCCACAAACTCACTTTCAGACCCGAGCATTAACTCACCACAGAAAGCCATGTTTCTATCCTGGCATTTCATCTTTGCTACAAACACAAGCGCTTGTGGCTTCGCTCAACAAAAGGGCATTTTCTAAGTTCTATGTACTTGATACATGCATTTTATTAAACTAATACTGTTATATTTACGCTCTGAAACACCATAAGATTATTTGCACTGAATTTCTAGGCTGTAGCAGAGAAATAAGTAGCAGTAAATGGAATATGCAAACACTAACTCTCCAAACTCCATATAAAGGTAACACAAAGATGACTTCATTTGAAGGCCCTACTTAACTTTCACAAATGAATTACCATGATAAAAGGAAAGTTTGTCTTTTTAAATAGGTGTTTAGAATTTTATCAGCTACTAACAGCGTCCTGACCATACTGAATTGTTTTCATTTTCATGTTTTCAGTAAGGAAACATTTTCTATAAGAAATTACATAATAACAATGCATTAGGACTTTACTATAGTTTAATGAATTAGTCGATAGTCCTATGGTGATATACTGCAAATATGAAGATCGTTTCCTAAAAACACCCCCCTCCCCACAAAAGAAATTTTAAAAAGTCTTTGAGCTACAGAAATAGATAATAGGTAACAATTACTTGGTATTTATTACATGCCAGGTACCATCCTGGGCTCTTTCCATGAATGATCTCACTTAATCCTCACAATGACCTTATTAAACAGATATTATTATTATGCTCATTTTACTGATGAAAAGATGAAGCTCAGAGAAGTCAAGTAACTTGTCCAAGGTATCCCTGTGGAGGAGTCATGATCAAGGTCTGTGCACTTGACCGCTATGTGCTGCTGCTTCTAGCAGATGTGAATATTTCATTAGTTAATTTTACTCGTGTGGTAATAATCTCAGACTCTGACTCAGTCCTTTTAACTCTAATTTAAATGGAATTCTACTAAATTTGGAGGTCTGATCACCTAGGATTAGGAGAAGCAGATGTTAGGAGGTCTTCTGCAGACGGACACGGTAAACAAGGAAATACTAAAACTATAGAAAGTTAAAACGGGAAGTAGAAGTACAGCAAAATAGGATTTTTTAGGGTAAGAAGAATATACACGCAGTCTCGGGCTGGAGTGGGAACAGAGATGGAAGGTAACTATCACTGTTGAACACCCACTGTGTGCTAGATGTCTGCCTTCCTCATCTGCTAAGTCTCACGATGGCCCGCCGAGCAGGCTGTTCTGTCCCATTTCGAGGCTCAGAGGGGTTCGGCACCCTGCCTACACTCACTCTCCTGCTACAAAAATGATTACAAAGGAAATACTTCTCCATGTTGGATAGAGTCAATGAATTATCTGGAAGATTCACTAACCCGAAATACCACATTTGATGGATAAGTGAGGCATTACTGTATTTTTGTTTTTAACTTTGAAAAACGGAAACTTAGAAAATCTTAAATTTAGAAAATCTATACGCTGTGGTTGTGCTAATGGGGGATTTTTCATTTGATGGCCTATTTTTAATTGTCTGGTATTCTTTTTTTAAACTACCAGTCTGGGGTTTTTCACTCAGTGAACATTCTCAGCGAATTCAAGGCATCGTGCCAGGAAACAGAGTGGCAGGGGAACGCCATCCAGGAGGGTTAGAAATTCAAAACAGAAACACACACACTCGCAGTTCGGCAACGCCGATTAAACAGAAGGGCTGGACAGGTCCCATTATGGAATAGATGCGGACGTTCCTTATGGCCTAAAGACTATTGAGACTATGGGAGCAGCAGGAAAACACTCCTACAAAGAACGAGCTACGAAACAGCATATGCGATCAAACTGTTCTGTATACGACCATAAAGTGATGAAGTCCAGTTTTCCCACGACGCTGGAAATGCGCGTCTGTTTCACCGCACTGTAGCTCAGGAAGGACCCGGGGCCCCTGCAGAGCTGCTGACATGGCAGGAGGCCCAGGCGTGTCCTCCGCCCTCCCTGCCCCGCCAGCCCTCCCCAGGCGCAGCCTGGTGCCCACGCGGGCGTGGTTACCCCTGGTGCAGCCCTGCCATCGGCGTCTCTCTCAAGGGGAAGAGCTTGGGGTAGACGATCGTAAACATGGGCTCGCTACACCGGTGACAGTGCCCCAGGGGGCAGTGCAGCAGCTCCAGGAGACTTCTGGGTAATGAGATCGGAGACAGGAAGTTTAAATCTGGAACACAAGAGAAAATCATGCACGAATGAAAAAAATTCAATTTCTTCAAACTGGGTTTCTTTAAATATTTTTCTTTGGTACCAAGTCAGTTCAATGAAAGTACTGCATGTTGAAAATTCTGTTAGCTGAGAGGCATTAAATAAAAATGTAACCTTATTTAAAAATGAAAGATTTTTCTACATTTTTAATACTAAGAGAAAACCTAAATCTACTTCTCTAAGGGCAACCAGAAGCTGTCCTGAGGTAGAGACCAGGAAAGAATAAGACCAAATACTCTTTAAGAACAAAGATGCAACGGGCATGAATCTACCCAGAAAGGGTTCGTAAATGTCTGTGACAGAGAATAAACAGGAACTGGGACTGGAGACCCACACGAACTTCCGCTAAGTTCTTCCTAAATCTACTGGGCATTTAGGATCCATCAGGCTAAACTTTACCTACTGGAAAGAACAGAGAGAGGAAACAAAGCAATGAAAGAAAATGAGAAACAGTGAAAGCGAGCTTTCCCCTGTCTCACTCCCCCGCGCTGTCTAAGCGAAACAGGGTGCCTCGTCCTCAGCTTAGTCTGGGCTACACAGGGGCCCGGGCGATCGTGAGCTCAAATATAGACTGGGTTTGCTGCTGACGGTAACGATGCAGTACAGGGAAATGGTTAGATGACGTGAAGCCTAAACGTCACTGACTCGTCTTTGGGAAGGAAATACGAATTATCTTATCACTTTTTATATCTGTCCAGACTTATCAATAACCATTAGAACACAGTGATTTACTTATAAGTAAATAATGATAATTTTCTGTTTCATTTTAGTTTTTTAATTTAATTTTATTATTAGTTTCCAGTATATACAGTGCATCGGTTAGACGTTTATATTACTCTCTCTCTCCTCCGGCTCTCCACCTTGGCATTACATTACTGCTGACTGCCATTCCCTCTGCCGTGCTCCCCATCCCCGTGACCAGCTAGCAACTACTAACTTCTTTAACCCTTCACCCCATTCTCCCAGCCCCCCAACCCCCCCCCGCCCAGATTTTATTTTTTTGCAGTTTTTCCTCTTTGCTGTTTTTGATTATTTCGCTTTTTGTTCCTTAGATTCCACATATAAGTGAAATCATACGATATTTATCTTTCTCTGACTTATTTCACTCAGCATAATAACCTCTAGGTCCATTCATGTCATTGCAAATGGTAGGATTTCATTTTTTTAATGGCTGAGTAATATTCCATTGTATATATGAACTATAACTCCTTTATCCAATCGTCTGTTGATGGGCACTTAGTTTCATAGTTTCATTTTAAAAAACGACTTTGTACTAGACATTCCTGCGAGGGTAATGTTAGATGTTTTTTTAATGGACTTTTAAAAAAAAAACAAAAACAAAAACAAAAGTAAAACATTTCAAGCTTTGAAAACACTTGAAGTGTGTTTTTCTTATTAATATTGCCTAGAGCTTCGCTAAAACACGTCAGATATCCACTCCACAACACCTATGAAATCCAAAAAAAAAAAAAAAACAAAGGTAAAACATTTCAAGCTTTGAAAACACTTGAAATGTGTTTTTCTTATTAATAGTGCCTAGAGTTTCGCTAAAACACATCAAATATCCACTCCGCAACACCTATGAAATCCACACATGGCCAAGCCCTTTCCACCAGGGGCTGGCATGCTGTGGTAGCACTGTGAGAACAGTGAACAGGGGCTCCTGATGCTTCTTCCCCTCTAGGTGCATAAATTTCTCAGATGTGAGGAGGCTGAAAGGTAAAACCGTGCTCTCCTGGGAAGAGGTACCCGACTTCGCAAATTTTTTCCTAGTGAAGAGGGTGCCTCTGCCATCCTCGCTTCCACCAAACATACGTCCCCGAAGGCCAACTTCCTTCATTTAAACCACAGAGTTTAACTTTTAACCTCTGACCTTTGTGACTGAAGGCCATATTTTAGTAAATGCTTCTTTGTCTATAGGGGGTGCTGAAGAGATAGATCAGTGTTGATAAATTATTAAACTTTTTCTTTTATTTTTTTTTTAAAAAAAGACCCGAGCACTTAAGAATGGTAAATTTTATGTTCTGTGTATTTTACCACGATAAAAACAAGAAACACCAAAATAGGCAGCATGGGCATAATTCCTAAAGTCAGTGAGAAAGAGGCAGAAAAGCGCAGAAAGGCCCCCGTACCGTTCAGAGAACTGTGACAGGTGTGATGCAGGCTCCTCATGGCCAGTTCCTGCAGCGGCAGGACGCGGTCGCTCTCTGTCCCGATGGCCTTCACCTCGGCAGGGAGGAAAACGGTCAGGTGCCCCGATGAAAAGGAAAGCAGCTTCACCTCGGAAACTTGGATGGGAGCACCGCAGCTGCAGAAAGACACACATTCATGTTAGCGTTAGCAAAGAGGAAACGAACATGGTGCCAGTAAAAATGTGTTAATCAAAATATACGTTTAAAATTTTAAGACACCGCTGAATTGCCAGAATTCTTTTCAAAGTGAACAGACGCTCTCCTGCGTTCCTTAATAAAACCTGGCACGGAAATCTAGATTCATCAGCTGGGACTCAGCTAAATCATCGCTGAGGCCCAGTCACTTCCAGTAAGAACAAACTTTGAAGGAACTTTCCTTCATAGAGTCTACACGATTTGCTTTGTAGGCTCTGTTTATCCTCATTTTATTACCCTCTCCAAGTTTATGTTTATTGAAATTTTCAAAATTAAAAGGGAAAAAGGACACTCTGTTAAGTTTTAGTACCTCGGTTTAATAGAATTTTTGTGTGGAAAAAACCGTACAAAGCAAATAGATTTTTAATGGCAGAAGATAACTTTATTGGATCCTTTCATAAACTTGTGGCAAAAATATTCTTGGCAAAGCCCGGTGAATAAGCCAAGTCACACCCTACTCCCTGCGGCCACTCAAAACTAGAAGGCAGAGGCGTCCTTGTTCCTTCAGCTCCAGGGCTGCCAAAACTCAGGAGTCTGATCTCATCCTACCTCCTGTCTGAGACCTCTGGGTTACCTAAAAGTCTTGACACTTTTCTTCTCTAATGACAAACAGGTGCCAACAAATCTGGGCTCCCCAGATATAACATGGGATAATCTCTCTAACCCTAGCTAGAAATAGGCGACGAAGAAGAGGGCACAGGACTGGAAGGCAGAGCCCTTGGCTATTTGCTTGTTAAGAATTTCCTTCATTTGTTCATTCCATCCATCAGAAAATGTCTCCAGAGCACCTACTACATGCCGGTCAGTCAAGATAACTGAAATTAAACAAAACAACACAACACAACACAAAACAAAACAAAACAAGATGACCCTCTTTCCCCTGAAAAATGTAATACTTACAAAATAATTGTTCTAATGTTGGGTCAGAGAGGACAGCATGACTGACTCTGTCCAGGGAATCAGAGGAGACAATATCTGACCTAGAACTCACCTGTTTCACCACCCGGTTCAAGAAAAAGAACCTTAGAAGGCCACTCTGGGAGCCCCTATCGGGCAAAACCCATATCCCAAAGGGAATATTGCCAAATTCTGACATTATAGTTTAGTTTTGCCTTGTTCATCAATGTGAAGCATTCTGAGTCTGGGTCCTTTTTGAACATTCTGTTTCTGGAATTCATCCATGTTGCTGCACGTACTGTAGTTTGTTTATTTTCACTGCTCTGAAGTGACTGACAAACGTTTAGGCTGTTTCCAGTGTGGGGCTATTACAAACAATTTTGTGTGTATTATTGGATAGACGGGAGCATACAATTCTGTCAAGTACATACGTTAAGATCGGAATTGGGCTTATTATAGTGAGGAGAGACAGACGATAAAGAGATGCATGTATAATAAGACGGAATGAAAGGGGTGTGAGAGCTGTACTACTTTAGGTAGCATAATCGAAGTCTTTCTGAGGAGGTGACATCTGAGCAAAGACCTGACTGAAGAGAAGCGGAACTAAGTCACAGCCTGGTAGGCACTTTAAATTGAGGACAAGGAGCAAATAATTCAGGAAGTCCAAAGCAGCTAGAATTTGTAGGACGAAGAACTTCAGACAGAGAGATGCACAGGAGAGAACTCTGGAGATGTCCCCCTTGAGTATTCAGATGAGTCTGGTCAGCACATGCACGTGAGGACACTACCTGAGGCTGCAGAAAGAACCAGATGAAAGGATTAAAGGTAACGGCACCCAACACTCGCCCAGGGTTGAACATAGTGCCTGTTATTATCGGTCAGATTTGAAGCTCACAATTCAAGGGGCATTGAGTAGAGCGCGCAGAGGGTCTTATCTCGACAGTGGGGAATAATTAGCCCTAGACCGAACACCATTCCACTCCCATCTAACAAATCCTAAAAGCCATCTGAAAAGATCAAACTGTTTCCAATCAACTCAACTGTGTCCCAGGACATACACCAATACTAGTTATGTGAAAACAAAAATGTCCAGCACTCGGCATGAAAAAATTCACACTGTCTAGCATTCAACCGAAAATTCCCAGGTTTTCCAATAAGCAGGATAATAGGACCTATAATGAGGAGAAAAGTCATGCAACTAAAACCAAGAACTGAGAGATGTTAGAACTGGCAAAAAAGGTCATTATAATGATAATTATAATTACTGCATAGAAGGATGTGTTACATACATAGCTCTCACCTAAAGAAACTAGAAATAAGCAAATTAAACTCTATATAAAGAGAAGAAAATAAATAAAGAGTATCAAGAATATTAATGATATAGAAAACAGGAAGCTAGTAGAGAAAAATCAATGAAAAGAAAAGCTGGATCTTTGAGATCAATAAAATTGATAAATTTCTAACCAGACTAATCAGAGGAAGGACAAATTACCAATATTCACAATGAGAAAGGAGACATTTTCCAGTTCCTACAGATAATAAAAAGGTAATAAGCAACTATATGTCAATACAAATTCTTTCGAGGACAAAAATTACCAAAGCTCACTCAAGAAATAAAGTGAACAGCCTGTATTTATTAAAGTTGAATTTGTAGTTAGAAGGCTGGAATACTTCCCAACTGATTCTATGAAGCCAGCATTATCCTGATACCAAAACCAGACAAACATGTTATAAGAGAAACAAAAACCAGTATCGCTCATAACATAGCTAGGAAAAATTTTAGAAAACTGAATTCAACAATATATTAAGTCACTATGACTAAATGAAGTTTATCTTACTAATCGAGATTGCATTAACATTAGAAAATTAATGTAATTCATTATATTAAAACCATATAACCAGTTCGATAGATGCAGAAAAAGTACCTAATGCAATTAGACATCCATTCCTAATTTAAAAAATCTCAGAAAAGCAGAAATAGAATGGAATTTACTCATCTGATACGAGATATCTATGAAAAACAACAGTTAATGTTATATAATGTTGATGGTTTTCCCGATAAGTTCAGCAAGACATACCTGTGTGCTCTCACTACTTCTACGTAACGCTGTCCTGGAGCTTCTAGCCAGTGCGATACAGCAAGAAAAAGAAATAAAAGATAGCCAGATTTGAAAGGAAGAAGTAAAACTGTCTTTACTTTCAGAAGACATGAAGGTGTATGTAGAAAGTTCGATAGGTTCTATAAGACACCTATTGGAACTAATAAGCGAGCTTAAAAAGTTTGGAGAATAGAAGATCAATATGTAAGACATCTATACTTCTATAGGTAGCAACAATCCATTGGAAATTGAAAAAAATTTAAATTCCACATACAATATGAAACACTTAGAAATAAATCAGACAAAAGATATCTAAGATCTCTATACTGAAAACTACAAAATATTGCTGAAAAACGAAGACATTTCTTGTGATCATGCATTGGAAGACAAGATTATGAAAATGTTAATTCTCAAATTGATCTACAGTTCAATGGAATCAAAATCACAGTAGGATTTTTTTTAAAAATATAAATCGAAAATCTGATTCTAAAACAATTAGAATAGTCGAACAATTTTGAAAAAAAACTTTGGAGGACTAACACCACCTGATTTTAAGATTTACTGTAAAAACTACAGTAATCAAGACAATGGGGTATTGATGTCAAAATGGGCAGACAGATCAATGGAGCCGACAGAGTATCCATAAATAGACTCACACATAAATAGACTTACACATATACGGACAACTAATTTTCAACGAAGGTAAAATGGGGCTACAGCGGAGAAATGACAGTATTTTTAACAAATGATGCCAGAACAACTGTATATCCACATACCAAAAAGGAACTTCAACCATACCTTGCACCGTATTCAAAAATTAACTCAAAATAAATCATAGACCTAAATGTAAACCTAAACCCTTAAAAATTCTAGAAGATAACATATGAGTATTTCTGTGGGTTAAAAGATATTACCCTTATGAACGATTTGTGAAGATGAGAAAATGAATCTAAATTTTACTTTATAATCATTCTTTCTTTCCTAATATGGAGAAAATTAAGATGAGAGGATCGTATCCAAAATGCCATTATGCCATGTGGCCACTAAGTGGAAATATAGGCAAATATATAATAAATGATTCTTTGGATGATGTGCCACGATACACGGTGTGATGATTGCATTTTATACCAACTTGGCTGGGCCACGGAACCGTGGTATCTGCTCAAACACCAGTCTAGATGTTGCTGTGAAGGTAGTTTTTAAAAATGAGATTAAGATTTAAATCAGCAGACTCTGAATAAAGCTGATTATCCTCGACAATGTGAGTGAGCCTCATCCGATCGGTTGAAGGCCTTGAGAGAAAGAGACTAAGGTCCCCGAAGAAGAGTGAATTCTGCCTCCACGCTGCCTTCAGACTCAAGCTGCCACGTAACTCCTTCCTGGGTCTCCAGCCCTCACAATCATATGGGCTGATTCCTTAAAACAAATCAATTTCTCTCTCCCTCTCTGCCCCTCACCCCATCCTATTGGTTCTGTCGCTATGGTAAAATAATTTGTTTCCAAACTTTATGGCCACACTGTAGTATGAGAATGCTGAGCAAAACCATAAAACAATAAATATGTAGGGTAAAAGGAGTCCTTCGTGAGTATTTACTTCATGCTGTTATGTTGCCTTGACATCTGCTGCTTTTTAACCCTATTGTAGATGAACTCTACACAAACACTGCCCCAAGAATATATAACATATATTAACATAGAGTAATAATAACATAGAGTAACAAAGGCTTAGAAAACTGAAAACCAGATTTTTCTAATGCTTTCCCTGTCTCCAATAATTAAAGACAGGTATCTGACTGAAATTACGAAAAAGGCTCACATTAACAGGCACGTCCTTGTTTTATGTAAGGTCTAATTTCCCTCTGACGATTCTCTGGGCAGAAATTTTTATTCTTCACCACTGGCTATAAAGAGCGAATGAGATCCAT